GGTAAGATCTTAAGCAAAGAAGCGTACCCGAAACTGGATTTCCCACAGAACTTTGCTGCAAAAACCACTTGAAAACGACATCTTCTAAATTTTTGTTTGTTGCTGCATTGAATTTCTTTAAGAACTTCCACCCTCGTTTTCAAACAGTGACACGAAGTTTAAAAGTGAAAGTTTGCTCCTTTTAATGTCTGAAATCGTTGGTTGTACAACACTACGTTTCCGCCTTAATTTTTTTTTTTTTTTTACACTCCGAAAGCGATTCGGATAGTTGGAGTCGTGCTGTATATATATATATATATATATATATATATATTTTTTTTCCTACAATATTTCAGAGTCCTAAGTATATGAAAAGAATGCATTTTTAAACAGCATTTCATTCTGAACGGAATTAAATGCTATACTTTTTCCAGAACAGTTTAATGTGAATGAAATATTTTTACATGTTTTCATTAATTACATTAGAAAAACATTGTAAGGTAATTCGATTTTATTCGGTCAAGGATTACAAAAATTATGATCAAAGTTTATTATATTATTAACAGTAAAATTACGCATTATTTCTTTTCTATTTAGAAAAATTTTCCTAAAATACTTTCTCAAATGTGAGATGCTTTTCTAGATTCGGAAGCATCTTTTAAATCGAAAATCTGAGTCAATTTATAACTAATGCTCTGTTCGGTTCATTTTAAATTAGAACACCTTTTATTTTAATAGTGAAATATGTATTAAATATTGGTGCTGGTTCTATGAATGTTTCTGAAAGGGATTTTTTTTTTTTTTTTGGATATTATTTAAAACTTGTAACTGAGTTATTATTAAATGAAAGGAAATAATTCTTTTAATACTTAGCAGATTTTTATTTTTACCCTTAATTTCAACAATACACATTCTAAAAACTCCTCTTTACTACTTCCTTAAGTACGCATCTCATAGAATTTGCTAGGTTAATCTTTGGATTATGGTAACTTGGCGATTTTTTAGCGAAAATTTGGCGACCAACCCTGCTACAGCAACCTGCTAGTTTTTGTTTGGACGCCATTTTGTTTTCACGAAGTAAAGGCATTTTTTTTTTTCCCTCAACATTTTTTTCCAACAATCTGCTAGACGAATTACGCTTATGCTAGAACTTTTATGGAACAAAAGTGCTTAATCATGACGAAGATTAGGTGCGAAATTGGGAGAAAGTGCAGAATCGCAAACTTCTTGCCGTGTTTTTAAGAAATGCACAGACACGGTATCCATGTACACGTCGACCTATTTTCACTTAAAAAAACATCCCCAGAATTGCACAAAAATGGCATTGCGCACACTCTTGACTTTATCCATGTACACTACTAAAGTCCTAGCTAGTAACTTTTATCGCCTTACCAAAATGTCGCCAAACTACCTGTTACCATATTCCAAAGATTAGCCTTGCTTTACGATACCTTTTAACAGATTGCTTTCCAGTACGAAAAATTCTTGCTTAAATAGTTTTATAAACGTATTTGTCAACAGAATTTCCAATTTATGTTTACAATTAAATGTTAAGTTTATTATATATTTGTATAATATTTATAATTATTATAAATTTAGATATATTTAATAACTAGATTTCTGCACAATAACTTTCACGAGTTTATGAAAGAATAAATCCGTCATTTCCAAATACATTTATAATAATTTAATAAATATTTACGTATTTTGTTAAAGGCAAGATACATGCTTTTTGCAAGCATATGCATAAATACCCATGTATATTAAATATTTTTCATTTTCAGAGTGTGTAAATCTTTAATTTCTGTGTACTGACTATCTTTTTCGAGTAAAGTAATTTACAATAATTTAACATATATCAGAGTATTTTACACAAGACGTGTATACATATAATTTGAATGAAAATCGCATGCATTATTTTTAATACCCACTCAAAGTCAGTTTTCCTTCGAAATTCCTCCAAGATGGCATCTCTCCCTTTAGGCGGACAGCCCTTGCACGCCTTACTTTATTTAATAAAAACTTGACCTATGTGCCTAATTACAAATATTTTAACATGCCTAATTTTATATTTACATATACCCATCAAGTTTCAAACTTTTGACTAAAAACACATTTTAAGTTACATTTCATTATCAAATTCAAATTTTCTAGTAAATATATTTTGGCAGAGCATGCAATACCTCTTTTAGCGATCTTACCCAGTTTAATAGTTCTCTGATAATATAATGAATAATTATCCTTTTCACATTTAAACATTAACCTCACTATCATCAGATCGCAATTTTGATTGCATTACTCTGCATAATATTGCTTCATTTTTTAAAACAGTTAAAACAACTAATTGATCTAAATTCACAAATACCTGAAATTTTCAAGCTGTGAGGTAATCCAGAAGGTAAAAATATGCAAAGTATACTGGCATACTGATTAAATAACATTGATGATGGTTTTTTCATGTCTTGAAACTCTTTCAAAAATAATAAACCACTCACTACTCAAGTATAATTTTCTATTACATTTAGTCATCAATTAAACATGCTGCTAAATAACATTTTAAAAAAGAGAGACAGAACTTTATTTTTTTTATTTTTTAATTGACCCAAAGTGATTTTTTTTCAGTTATATAAAAATAAAATAATATTACATGACAAAACATGTACTTCATTGAAAACATTTTGGTGTTTGAAACATAAAAGTAGCAAATACTCTATCAAGGATATAGAAAGACGTATGCAATTTTAAAGGTATCGCAAAATCGCTGTTGCAAGTTATCGAAAAATAATTAAGACGTGATTTTTGTGTAAATGTTATTAACCTATACAAATTTCTATTATCTATCCAACAATGAATGTTTCTTTTATGCGAAAACTCCCCGCTTTTCGATTTGTATAAAACTGTCGTGTGTGGAACTACTATCAAAGCGCTGTCAAGGAAGCTCTGTATGTAAACAAAAACCACCCCATTTGGAGACCAAAGCCTGGGAGCAGTGCTTCACTCGTAGTACGAGGTTGGCCCCTCCTTTTATTCTTACCTCCATGGTTTCTGGGTCAAAGGTTTTGAGAAACTATCAAAACAGTGGCAGAAAATCATAGATTTGAGTGGTGTTTACTACCCGCAGTAAAAGTCCTGCATTCTTTTCCTCCCCCCAACTAAACTTTATTAAGAACGCTTTTTGGCGGAAAACTTTCGTTACGACCAGATAATTTTAAGATTTTGGATAAATTTCATTACTTGATTCATCAGTGAAATACTTCCAATTAAAAAAAAAAAAAAATGGCTGGCATGTCACTCTTCTACTTCATAAATTATTTCACTGACATCACATTACTTTAATCAATGAAGAAAAACACTTAATACCTTAAAATTTAACATACTTATGAACTTGCTTAGTTACGAAAATAGCAAATATTGTAAAGTAATGGAAAAAAAAAAAAAAAAAAAAAAAACAGTCTTGTTTCAGAAATTAGGACGAAGTTTTCATTAAGAGCGAAAATGTAAAAAATGTGTGCAGGATTTTAATCACTTTATACCAAATATGTTATAGTAGTATCTTGGAAACTATTAAAATATATTCTTTATTTTTTTCAAGGAATTTATGCAATTTCAGATAATTTAAGGAGGACCATGTTAAATTTACAGCAGGAGGTTAATGGATGATACCAAACTTTCTAGAAAGAAATCAAGTATTTCTTATCTTTCATGAAAATGTATCGATAATTACAAAATGTTTAAAGACTTCATATATCATGAAAACAGCTTTAACACACAAAAATATTTTCAGAATCTCAAGTTTAACAGAAATGTTTAAACATTTTCCTATTATTCTGAAATTATATCAAATATTTCATTCGAACTTAAACATATATTTACCAATTAGATTTTTTTTTCACGATTTCACATGATTTGTCACATAATCTGAAATTTCTTGTATTTTGTTTTCAAAATTAGAAGTTTATAATATGCATATACAATGATGTTAATTTTGTTTAAACACTACAGTCAAAAGTCTTTAATCCGGAATAGTCGGGACTTCTGAATTATCGATTTTTCCGGATTATAGATCATCAGTTTAAATCTGGTAAGATGGCATGCAGAAATTATAAAATTAAAAATATGAAACCGTAATTTATAAAATAATGAGCAATTATGATCTAAAGGGTATCAAAATTTACAAAAAAAAGAAGCTTAATATTTATTTGTTTACTTTATTAAATATTTCTTTCAACGCGCGCATGCGTAAAGCATACATTACGCATAGCCGAAATTAGAAAATTGCAACCAGAAAACTATTTGATTTGTATTCGTGATATTTATAATGACGAGTAATTTGATTTAAATCATATCAAAGACGGAGTACATCGAGATGAAATACTACATTTAGTACGGAATTATAAGCCGAATAAAATAAAAAATCTGCCCTGAAGATAACGATAGTGCTGTTAAATCAACTTCCAGTTCATTGCGCGCCGCGACATCCCACCCCCACGCAGAGCAGCGTGAAATTGATAAACAGATTTCGGAACGGTTAGATAAACAAAGGATATGCCTTTATCCATTTTTTGTAGCAATTCCACTTTTTGTTTGATGGACATCGAAACACACTTTCGTTTTGTAGATCCTTTGGGAGCTCCAGAATCGGAAATTCTATTTGACATAATCGAAAGTTCAAGCTTACTTTTATAAAATTGCTCTTACAGTCTGCAAAAAATAATAAGCCGGATCCAATTCGAAGATTAAAGAACAACGCAATCATCAACATTAACTGAAATAGATAATTAGATAATTTTAGCTTATACCGTCCGTTATACATTAAACGCGCACGCGAAAACGTATTCTGCGCTTGCGCAGACGCATATGCGCAGTCTTAATGGTCTTTCGAGCATGCGTAAACGCCTATGCGCATGCGCAGAAAGATTTTAGCTTTGAGGTCCGGATTATAGATCATTCTGGATTATGGGTGTCCGAATTAACGACTTTTGACTGTATTAATATCTGATACAATAATTTCAAGAAAATACTTCATATTAAATACATTTATTTTTCACATATACAAAATAATTTTGCATGCATTCATATCTACATAAAAATGACATTAAATGGGTATAAAAATATATCTTGAACATGATTTACAATTTTACACAAATATATGTGTGAACAGCATTAATTTTATCACTAACACATATACATGATAACAATAAATAACACATATGCATAATAGAATAAACTTCTTAAAGATAATTCTAAAAAAATGAGTAAGTAAATATTCATAATAAAGAAGTTTTTCTGAAACAAGTATTTTGCTTAAAATAAAATTTCAGCTCCATTGAGCAGGAACAAAATACTATTTTATCTCTCTCATTTCTTTAACAGTTAATAATTTTTATGCATTTATTATGCTTTTTGCATATTAGCATAACAAAGAAAACACTATTTTTCTTGTATTAGGATATTTTATTTGAGCATAAAATAAAACGAAACATTAAAATTCACTTTTGCTGCAAACCATGCATTATATAATGTCTTAAAAAACACTTCAATTTAAAAAATGAATCCAAATAGATTTTCATTTTCTCCATGTGCTATAATTTTGATTACATGAAATTTAAGCTTTTTCATGAATCCAACAGAAAAATAATCTGAGCAAAGTTCCTCCCCCCCAAAAAAATCAATTATTTCCTAAATCAAATATAAAAATTTTTACTTAATATTTGCACTTTCTTAAATCCCAAAATTTGATATTTAGTATCAAAGTGAATTCAGCATTTAAATTAAATTCAATTACTTTTACAGAATGAAAAGTAGTTTGAAAAGTAGTGTAAGTAACATAATGTAGACAGTTATAGCACTCAGTGCCAATTTTGCATATCACTGCATTTCTTTTTCAAAAAGATCTTTGTTGAATAATAAACAATTTTAAAACTTTCTTTGTTAAAATAATGTAAAACTTTAATTCTAACCTTTATCAGAAGGCTCACCCAGACGGGAAAATGGTTAGTGACTGAATGCCACACTGAATGGCTAGGATTCGAATCCCAGTGAACGCATGGATGTAATTTGTCTATCCCTTCCTAGGAGGCAATGATGACCCACCTATTAGGTGCCTCCACAATCAACAGCCACAAATGGAACCAAAAACAAACAAAAAAAAAAAAAAAAAAAAAAAAAAAACCCTTTTATTAAAATATACATGAACCCTTTTATCAAAGGATTCATGTATCTGCATATTATTTCTGGATCTGGAGTTTACCTGTATGTTATTCATATTAGTATAAAACACCAAACTGAAACTTGCAACGAAAGGTTAGACATTTCTGTAAATTAGCAATATCATTATCCCATGACGGGAATAAAATTTCTAACTGAATGAAACTGAAATCTTAATTTTGTGGAAAATTTAAATATTTCTCAATTCTTGTATGTGCAGCCTGCATTTCTTGCATTTATAAATGTTGTATTTTCAAAAAACTTACTAAGAACAGAAATACTCCATAAACAATAACTTAGTTTATATAAATCAAAATATTTTTTCTTTATTATAAGAAAAAATTATATTACAACAAAATTAAGCACTATTTTCACCATCATGAAACTGCGAATAAACAAAGCTAAGAAGAAAAAATGAGCTTCTTTTTTTACCTGTTGATAGCACGTACAATTTTTTTTTTAAATAATGACGGACATTTTAAAAATATTTTTGCCTTTTTAGGAAAAATAACGTACTTTTTTATGTGCAAAGGAACCTGGTTTATATTATTCAAAAAAAAAAAAAAAAAAAAAAAAAAAAAAAAATTAAAATCTTTTAACACCTTAGTTGTTAAAAAGCATATAAAACACATCACAGGCACATAAAAATAAGAGTAGTAAAAGCAGTAATAATAGTCAATGGTATGATAGTAATAATAAATGTAACAATGATAGAAACAATAGTCCAAAATTGAAGGAGACATTTCTTTTATTCAGTCTGATCTGCCAGATTTAGATTCAAACTTACTAAGAACAGAAATACTTCATAAACAATAACTTAGTTTATATAAATCACAATATTTTTTTCTTTATTATAAGAAAAAATTGTATTTCAACAAAATTAAGTACTATTTTCCCCCATCATGAAACTGCGAATAAAACACGGCTAAGAAGCAAAAATTAGCTTTCTTTTTTTACCTGTTGATAGCACGTACAATTTGTTTTTAATAAATAAAGGACTTTTTAAAAATATTTTTGCTTTTTCTCAGAAAAAATAACATGTACCTTTTCATGTGCAACGGAACCTGGTTTATATTATTTTAAAAAAATAAAAAAATCTTTAACACCTTTGTTAAAAAGCACATAATACACATCACAGGCAGTGATAAATGAGAGTAGTAACAGCAGTAATAATAGTCAATGATATGATAGTAAAAATAAATATAACAATGATAGAAACAAGAGTCCAATATTGAAGGAGACATTTCTTTTATACAGTCTGATCTGCAGGATTTGGATTCAGCTAATTTTTCACAGAGTTTGGGAGATCCAAAAATTCTTAATATGAAAAGGATAATTAAATAGAAGGGTCATGCATTTCAGTTTCTCCATCAACATTTCAGTTGCTTAAAAAGATTTGTCTTGAAATAACTTTTCTAAAGGAAATTAAAATAAGTATTTTAATATTTAAATTAGAGCTTATCTTTTATATTTCTTTAGTTAGATGATTAAGTTTTAACTAGTTCTTTAGTTTTCTGAAACTTTATTCAGAACTAATATAAATGTAAAAATTTAAATGAATATCTTAAAATTAAACACACTACATAACCCAAAACTTGTCATATTCTTCATTGCTATGTATGGTATATTTAAGTAAGCACTGAGATTTTAAAAAATATAAATTCTAAAAATAAATTTTGAACTAGAAAATTTGATGTTGGTTGGACAAAATTTAACTGGCATTCTTATCTTCTTCTTCCCAAAAAATGCAATTTGATGAAGTCGTTTTATGTTAATAAACTTGAAATTTATATAACTGTGACAATTCTATGTTAAATTTTTAAAAAATGACTTAATTAAAAAAACTGCTTAAAAATTCCCGATTTAAGTAGATTTAAACAAAAATTGGAAGACTAGTAATCTGCGAAACCTCATCTCCTACTATTTTTTTTTAACAAGATGGGATTTCAGTGTGAAATTCTATAAACAGTTTTATCCATTAATATGAAAGTCCAATAACAGATTACCAAGAAAGGTTTCGAAATAAAAATCAATTGCTATTAGAGACCTTTATAATTTTAAATTAAATTTATAAATCTAAATATAAATCTAAAAGAGCTTTTATGAAAGTTTAATGGTCATATGAATTTATAATGTAGTGAAATTTAAGGATGTAAATTTAAAAACATTATGAAGAAGTCAAAATATGTAAAACATCTTATATTTATTGTGACTAGTATAACATTTTAGGCTTTAAAGTGATTATTTCATCAAAATTTAAAAAATATTTATTAAACAAAAAACAAACAATACTATCTAATATAAAATAAAATATAAATTATCACCCCTCCAAAAATATTTCCGCTTCAAATAGTAACAGATAATGATAATAAAACATAACCTAAAATTTTAAAACATATTCTAAGAGAGATTCACAGAAATGAAAGAAATCAGACTGAAGAGATTTAGCATAAATAATTTATACATTAGAATCAATAAATTAAGTTGGAAATAATTCAAAGGTATAAAGCACTTCACCAAGTCAGATCAATAATTCAAAAACACTTATATATACATACAATGTGTTTCAAAAAGTTATATGACTAAATACCTCTTGAATGGTTGGCTGCAGACCTAATTTGAAATTCAATTTTAAAAAAATGAGCAGAATAAGGTATAATTTTGACATTTTCCATGGCAAGTGTTATCATATGACGCTTTTCAGTAAAAATATATGAAACTTAAATTTTAAGATGTGTCCTACAGGTAAAAAGCATCAATAAGAAAAGTGTTAACCATAGCCAAATTAATAAAAAAAGTCCATTCTCAAAATATTTAAATTACCTAATAAATTATTAATCAAAATTTTGGGAAACCGCATACAAATACTACTGTAGACACTTAAGTGCTTAACACACATTCATATACGATATCTTTTACATCATGGAAGTATAAATTTTAGTAAAATATAATTCTATTTTTAAGCCACATGAAATCCATGTTTTCACTGAAACTGGAAGTGGTTTAAATCACATATTTAGACAGCTTCAGATATATTCTGTATAAAAGATATACGATTTAAAAAAAATTATTATTGATAAAGTAAAGAACTATTTACTAATAGAAATATTATTTGTAGGAAGCACATGAAAAATTTTTATTTTTTAATTTTTTTTTATTTATTTACTTTTTTTTAACTGAAGGATCTCAAGTTTCCAATTCTGCCAAATACTGGAAACCACTGTACTGCAATACTGTAAGTTTGGAGTCCTTTATTATTTAAGACTTTTCTTAAATGGTATCATGGGTCTACAACCAACAATCCAAAAGGTATTAATTCTGCAATTTTTTAAACATCCTGCATTTATATGCAGATGTAAGGTGGTAGATATATAAGAGATTAGAAATCCATTAATCCAGATTTTTAACAATTCATATATATTCACAAAAAATAATAGAATCCATAAAACTTTTATCTGAACAACAATTTTTAATTTGAGAGTTTAAATGTAGCAGCTGAATGTTTTGCCACATGTTAGTATTTTTATATTCAAAATATTTAATGAGGACTTGATTTATAATGTAGCAATAAAATGCTTTGTCACAATATTCTTAAATTCAAAATATGTATAAATTTAGAATTTGATTTCATATTTTATATGAACAAAAATATCAAAGAACTATCATTTTGGTTATTTATGAGTTTTAAGTTCCTAAACTCGTTTTCATTACAAACATAGTATTTGAACATGCTTCTAATGTAATAATAGCAATTCAATTGAAATAAGATATACACTATCCAGAAATATATTGATATGACTTTGAATCCATGGGTGTGGTTCTATAAAGCACATGGTCCAACATTCAGTTGTACAAATATATACTATATGAACATACTCTTTATAAGAAATAGTTTCTATCTGCCATAAGAAGTTAAATGAAAGACAATATTGATTAATTAAAAAAGTAACATACACTCAATTTTGTAGTAAGATAATACAGTGTGCTCAACTTTAAATAAAAGGAAATGGTATCAAACACTGATCATTATGATTGACACTTTATTCAAAATGTGTAACCATAGTATCTTAATATTGTTCTTAAGAGCAAAAAAGTCAATTTCATGTAAGAAATGTAATGTTTGAAAATCAGTTTCCTTAGATGTTGAAGACAGATGTAAAATGATTCACAAAAAATTCATAATTGCCGTAAGTTTTTCAGATTAGTTTCATAATTTTTTGCATTAAGAAGCTTTAACTTATTTAGCTGAATACACTTTTTGTCATAATAAATGAACAATCTAAATTTAGGCCAAGTAGCAGCCTTAAGGCTAAAAATATTAAACTACATAATCAGTCCCCCTTTTTTTATTTATTTATTCATTTACTGGAGGGGGGACATAAATCCAGCTACATAAAAAATTCAATTTTAATCTTTATGATGAGTTTTTTTAAATGCAAAATTTAAGTATGGATTAGTTACATATATTTCAAAATATATTTCTGTAATACTATTTAATTCCCTAAAAAATGCATTCTTAAAAAGAAAATTACATATTTTAAAAGATTAACATGATTTTTAGAGATATGTGAGAAATGTACTTATAAATATGAATTAAAATTTAATTTTTAAAATATACAATATAGAGAGAGATATACACACATACATAAGAATTAAACCAAAAATGGATAAAGAATACAAAGTTGAGTGTATGTTTATTACCCTATTTTTAGGAAAAATAGTATATAGACTAAAATTTAAATATTTACTTCATGAATCCATGTAATAAATAAAAAAGAATCAAAATTGACTTTTAAATTACTGTACAATGAGATAGTACCCATTTTGAAATAAAAAAACAAAAAAAGACAAAAATTCATTCAGTTTTTAGCTTCACTTATGGTATATTTACACAATTTTGTAATTTGATAAAAAGTGTGAAATATTTGTTAAAAGTATTTTTTCTTAATAGCTTTTCAGAAACAAAATTTTACACATCCATCAGCAGAGGTACATGTTTAATGGATATGTCGTTCATGATACTTGAAAAGTATTAATTTTCTCCCCCCCCCCCCAAAAAAAAAAACTTCGTACTACACTACTTTCTTATTTGGAATAATATGATCAACTGTAACAAAAACAATACACATAAGTGCCCATAATAAAACAAACCAAATCCAAATTGTGTGCTTAAAGGGTGATGCATGCTTATTTTTTACCCCTAATCCTAAAGATGCTAAAATATCTTTTCTTGCATAATAAACTAATAATGCTGGAACGACATACTGTACGGCTGCACCTGCATAGGAACCTGTTATTCCAACCAATATAGTTAAATCAGCTGTTATAAAAGCAATTGCTACAGGAGGTATCACAGCTAACAATGGGAAGAGCAATCGGTCAACAAAAAGGGAGTACTTTTTATTATCTTTCAGAAATATAGATTTTAAATTATTACGCAGAGTTATTGCAATAATAGGAAAATTTGTACTGAGCGTAAATACAGGAAACAAAGTTAAAAAATAACGAATCACTGCAAAATTTTCAGAAAGAATGCTTTCTCCTGTATTGCAATTCTGCGGTTCAAAATTTAAGGTATATATATCTAAAAGATGCTCAAATGTAAATATACCAGTAAAAGAAAGCAAACAATAAAACAAGAGAATTAGCAAATAATCTGCTATAAAGAGCCTTAGCAGATGGGATTTATTTCTTATTGGAGTTATAAGGGAGGGTAATGAGTGGTGGCACATAAAAGAATACACACATACACCAAATAAATTTGGTACACCTCTAACATTTGCAATACTTGGGTGACCTCTTCCTTTGCCTTGAATGAGAGCGGCAGCAGCGGTGATTATCATTGTTGAAAAAGCTGGAAAAATTTAATAAAAATCAACGACATTTAAGTGCAAAGATCTAAATATAAGACAGCTTAGAAAGATCGGTTTCATAATGTCAACATGCATCATATTTTAAGACTCAAATATTGGACTATTCCATAACTGTAATTCTACTATATTTTAAAGCCAAGAAAGAAAAGATAATACAGTACAAAATCCTAGATCTGGGAATATCTTCAGAACTTCGGCAATTCAGGATTTCAGAAACGTCCAGATTTTAGATCATCAATCCAAATTTGTACGATGACATGTAGAAATTAGAAAATAAACCATATGAAATGATGAATCATTTATGACTTAGGAAATAAAAATTTACACAAAAACTAAATACCTATTTGTTTTATCAAGCATTGTTGTTTAAGCTATTTTATTTTTATGCTAATAGTTTTGTTTTAATTTTATAGATAAACACAACATTTTTGTTCATTTATAAAGTTCCTACTATTCAAATACTGAAATTGTCCTGTTGAAAATTCCTACTAAGCTGTCAATCAAAATTTTTTCATTCTTAACAATGTCTTTATTGTTACTTATCCCTTTTTCACCATCAGTAAAACCACACTACAGGTTCCGTGCTCTGTCAGTCGATTAATGTTAGGTGCTTTGTCATGGCAATGGAAAATTTCTATTTTCTCATTTTCATTTAGCATCATTTCTCCAAATTTCTTCACAAATTACATTAACTGGTATTAACTAGAAAATTTTATCTTTTGCTTCTAAATCTTTCAAATTTGTGGCTATCATCATCACCAAAAAATATTATAACTGGCCATAAATTACAACAGGCATTTTATAAAAATATCTGCAGACATGTGGCCTCCTATGACCTTGCTCCCATGATCCACACTGCAGGTTTTAAGTTAAAATATTTCAAAAATTCTACAGAAAATTTAGCATAGATTTTAAAAGGCTAGTTTATGTCTGCATTTCAACATGCACAGCATTTTGATATCCACTGGATGTACAATTTGAAAAGAAAATGGAGATGTTATCTTTTATTACAATTTTAAGTGAAGTAAATGCCAAACAGTTGTTTATAACCAAGGCAATTTTTGCATCATATGGTAAACCAACCGATTTCAAATGTAGCAGAGCCTCACATATGAAATTATTTTTCAAACCGCTCATTTATTATTGTTTGTCTCATTTATTTGAATGACAGATGACAAAAAATCTTTACTGCTTTAAATGCTTGAGATGCTTTATTTTTATTTTTATTTATTTATTTTTTTGAGACTATGAAAAGTTTATAATTCTGCATACCTCCAGTATCTGCACATAGCTAGTGCCACTTTGTAATCTTTGACAGTAGGTGGAATGTTTTCTGTCACCAAGGTATTTTAGGGCACATATTGCCAGAAAAGGCAAGTTTTGTCAATGTTACAAATCTCTTATGGAGATACCTTTTTGATATAAATAAATTTCATGAATTCATCTGCAAATTGTTCAGAGCTTTTTCACCTGAAATTTTTAACTGCCTTATGTCATGGCCATTTTTAAATGAGTTTAATCAACATGTTAAATATTTGCACTCAGTTTTTAAGTCCATTTTCTCGTGAAATATTTTCGCTTGAGCCTTGGCACTAGACCCATGAATAGCGCACACTCTTGCTATGATGCTGTCGTACCAATCAATCATCACTTTGCCATGATTATCATGCAGAGCATAATAAAGTTTTTTTTTATTCACTGTGAATATCTGGAAAAATTCCAAAAAATTTCAAAAGGTTCTCCCCCCTTTAAAACATTTGACTTTTTAGTGTCATATTCCTACATGCTTTTGCTTTGCAGATCCTACTGCAGCTCCAGACATAGAAACTATTTTCGACATAATAAAAAATTCAAACTCAAATTTTGTTAAGGTAGCTGCAATAATAAGAACTTTCAAAAAAGAAAAAGCAGAAAATTAGAAAGTTAAGGAAATGTAGAATTTCTTACATTAATTCAAGTTCCTCGGAATCTAAGTGTTTCTTCTTTCCTTGCTTTGATGCCAACAAAAGAAAACCAATACTAGCAACATCTCTTTCTAAACACATGTGTCTCAGAGCTTCACTTATTGTTTATGTCAGATAAAAAAAAAATGCTAACCTCCACAAACCATTCAAGGGCTGAAATGTGGTTGTGGCCCAACATCAATCAGTGTATTGTCACTGGCCATAGTGCGAATCTCTAGCCAGCAAGTGTTTGAAACTGATATCCAGGAGCCTCAGTTAGTCACGAGAAAAATCAGTTTTACTGCATAGCTTCTTTTTCTTAAGTATTATATTCTCCATTCCTAAATGTTGTAAAGGGAAAAGAAATATGTTCTCAAAAATTAAAACAAAATTGCTGGCAGTCCAGGTGTCTGGATATTAGGTCATTTCGGATACTGGATGTTCAGATACTGGATATTCAGATACTGGATGTTCAGATACTGGATGTTTCAGATACTGGAGTTTGGACTTTGTACTGTATTAAAAATGCAAAAATTTATGAATAAAATTATTCCTATTCAATAGTTAAAGTTTGCTTGCTTTAGAAATGAAGTAATACAAAATCATGTTCAATGTGGTCTTGTGTTCACAAATATAAAAAAAATTACACCCTCTATACATATACAATATATATTCATATATAATTATTTTCTTATTTACATAAATTTTGCCATTCCTTCAAATCAAAAAAATTATACAAATGCATTTTGCAACACATGAGAAATAAATATAAACCTGGACACGATGCATTAATATATTACTTATTGTAATTATTTTAAGTGTCTTAAAACAGGCACAATATTAATTTCAAATTTCAATCAACTGCTCTTAAAATAAAATGCTACATATATTCTATACAATGTACTACTTTAACACATTCTTTGTTTTTCTGTACATTTTCATAATTTGGCTCTGTACATTTCATACCATGCTCAGGTTCTGAACCTATGCTCAATCATCATTTAGCTCATATATAAGGCCTAATAACGCTGCGCATGTAATTATACCATCCATTCAGTTTTTTAATTACATCATGTTTGTTGTAACATTTATTTAATCAATTATTGCACACTTCTATTGCAACAACTAAAAAATAAAACAAATTAATATAGTTACATGTTTCCATGCTTTAATAATATTTAAAGTATATAATTGCAAGAGCTGTATCAGCATTTATGAAAATTCCATTTTACACAAAATATAATTTTCATATTTTATTTCAAAAAGCCAAATAATTATTTTTCTAATATGTTAAATATCGAATAAATTGAGTTTCAAATCAAAAAGTATTAATATTTAATAACATACTTGACACAAATGTTGTTGATATATTTAAACACATTGACAATGATTATAATTATTTGAGAAAATCTTATAAATTAATAAAAAATTATACTTTAAAAAATACAGAAAAAACAATCAATACCTGATAGACATAAAATAAAGGAATAAGCAGGCAACAAAATGATAGGTTGTGACCAAACATTAGGAAATAAAACATACAATAATAACCGGCCAGCTAAAAATGTATATAAAATGAAAACATCTTCAATGAAAAAATTATACAAAAATGATTATTCAGCCAAATGTATTTCAGTAGATGAACAGAAGCTAGTTACAAAGTTCAAAACTATATACATCAATTGTAATTTCTCTTTAACAATTATGTGGTTACCAATGAAAAATTTAATTTATAGTTTTGAATTAGCATTTGAGAGACTTTTGGCCCTTTTTATAAATACATAGGATCACAAAGTTTTTATCCAAATAATACTTCAAGATCCCCCCCCCAACACACAAAAAAGGTTAATCTAAAGAAAATCAAGCTAGAGATCATAGAACTTGTAATACAGTCTCACAAAGCTTGCAATATAATTTGATGACATTACAGTCTAATATGTAAAGTTAAAAATATTTAATTAAAATTGTTCTCGTCACAAAATGCACCTCTTATTGAGAAAAAAAACTATCATATACTACCAATTATCTCTTTCACACTTAGTGTCCTCTTATATAATTATTATTAGTCTCATAATAAGTATATAATGCTCATTTTAATCTCTAAGATAAAAGTGCTCAAAATTAAGCATTTCTTATCTTCAGGGTTGGAAAGTTGTCTCCCAGATTTGAGGGACTGTTTGTAATTGAGAGTGTGAGAGCTGCGGTAGTTTATCTGCAGGCAGCCCCTGCAGAAAACTGGCCAGGTTCCTCTCTTATGAATCAACTCAGGATGCCTATTCTAGGATCACTGGATCCATCTACAACTTGAGCAAACAATATTGACTAAAAAAAAAAACGGTATGGACAGCCATCACAACTTGTCGGAAAAAGCCATTCTGTTCTCCTCAGTTGGTGGGCGGGTGGGTCCATTTGAATTTACTGAAAGGGGACAAGGCTTCAAGGAGCTTTAAACCAATCGCAGTACAGACGAGTGATGAAATTTATAGTGCTCGCTGAATGATGAAATTTATAGTTCTGTATAGTGATGAAATTTATAGTTCTAGGAATATTCTCTCATTATTTCACTAGCTCACACACTGCCCTTGTAGTTCGAAAAAATGGCACGAATCAGTATTATGACCAACATGCAGCAGAATATGCTGCTGTGTTATGTGAAGGAAAATCCCGTTTTTTAAGGAGAAAGTTAACGCAGGAATTTAGGGTTAAGAAATAAAGAGTGATGTGGGATACCATGAAAGCAACGGTAAATAAATAAGAGTAAATGAGCTTACTTAAAATCTTTTTAGAAAAAAAAAAAAAAAAATTTAATCATTTAAATTTATAATATGATTAATTTGCATTACAATCGAATAGCAAACTAAGTTGCTTTTTTTCCATGCTTACATTAAAACTGTGTTTTCACGCAATTTGTTTTACAGTTAATATTAGAAAAATATTTCTTTAAGTAAGAAATTACAAAGAAAATATATCTTTTAATGTTCTTCCTTTTTTTTTACTTTCTGTTTCTATGAAAATTATTTCTTTCAGGAAAAGAAATA